ATGAATGAAGTGAAAGGTAAAAAAAAAAAAATAAAGACGTTTACGATTTTCTTTAACGCCAAATTAGAGCGCAGCTCCTAAAGAGGAGGAGGGGAGGGTACGGAGGGGAGGGTATACCCCTCTTCCTTTCCTGCTAAATATACACCAACTTATGTTTACAAACAAACCGGAGCACCCCTAGCGGATGCCACCGGCGCCGCGCATGCGCGGTGGACGGTGGGCAAGACGCTCGCCGTCTCCCATGAACAAACCATTGAATTGCGTTGTTGTCGGCACCGGTGTGAGTCCCTGTGCTCTTTTTCGCGTTGGAATTGTTTATTCTACGTCCTCCTAACAATGCCTGACTACTTGAGCGGCTTCAGCAAAATTAACGAGGCTCGTTACACCGCAAAACTTTGCGTGAATAATGTGACGTGCGGCGATTCATTTCACGTGGACGCCGCGGAATGGGCGCTAAAGCCTGACTCCCACGATGAGATTCATCTCGCTATTTTCGGTCGCGACGTCGCTCTGGCTGCAAAAGCGTGGACCGTAGCTGAGATGGTGGACGTCGATACTGAAAACCGCAAGTAGAACAGGGCATTACACGTCGGTGACGGCCATTGGTAGCAATAATCAACATCTTGTATCTACTGTTTACACTTATCCTACTTACCCCAACCAACCTCAAAGGTGTTTTGAGGCCTGCACTTACTTCTTATCGCAATTACCCGGTCAACGTTTGGTTTACGGGCCGCTGTCGTTTGAACGAGCTGACGACAAAAAGCAGACAAGTTTGAAAAAGCAGACGACAGTTCGAACGGATGCGCAATGGAGTACGGGCAAGAAGCACAGCGTCCCGCATCAACAAACCATTGGAATTTCACGTTGTCGGCGTCTGTGTGTGTCTGCATACTCTTTTTCGCGTTTGAATTGTCGATTCTACGTCCTCATAGCAATGTCTTACCACTTTAATCGCCTGAGCGAAATAATCAAGGTTCGTTACGCCGCTAAACTTCGCGTAAATAATTTGACGTGCGGCGATTCATTCGCATGAACGCCGCAGAATGGACGCCAAAACCATGATGAGATTTTTCTAGCTATTTTCGGTCGCAACGTCGTTCGTGCTGCAAAAGTGTAGAAGGTAGCGGCGATGATCGACGTCGGTACTGAAAATCGGAAGCTGGAACACGCCAAGCGTAACAAGTCGGTGATGGCCACTGGTACCAATGATCAACATCTTGTATCTACTGTTTTCACCGAGCCAACTTGAGTCTTTTGAGGCCTGAAATTACTTCTTATTGCAATCACCGGGTCAAAGTTTGGTCAACGGGTCGCTTTTGTTTGAATGAGCAGACGACAAAAAACAGACAAGTTCGAAAGAGCAGACGAAAGTTGGAACGATCAGGCGGCCGTGCGAATTTGAAGACTCACTGAACCCGCGGGTGGTCCTGAAAACTTGGCGGTTTACTCTCGTTCATGTTGGAACACAACAACTACATCTGTCGAGTACAAAGTGTTGCCCGCACAAGCAATCTAAGTTCGACAGCGTCTAGTTTGCACTTGTCACGGCTACTATCCACGTTCGCGGACGAACGGAAGGGCAGAAACACATGAAAGCTGATCTTCAAACCTTTCCAGACTCTCCTGGTACAGCCCCGTCGCAGCATTTTGACGAGAAGGCAGGTTTTTTGCCTGGTTTCTCCCAAAAGAACACAGGAATGCCTGTTTCGCACCGCGGCTTCTGCCCACCACCCCAGACCGGAAGTGCGCCCGACGCGCCACCACCGCGGCGTGACGTAGGGGAGTTGAGTTCGTGTATAGCGGGAAAGTTTTACCTTCGTGACGTCACACGTTGCGTCATATGCGACGTCACACGTGACGTCACAAGGGCAAATTTAGCGGCAAAATTTTTCCGCCAAATTTACCGGAAAAATTTTCCCGCTAAATTGAGCGGGGGTATTGGCATACTAGATGCGTGCGACGTCACGTGACGTCACACGTGACGTCATAGTCAGTGTTTTCTATAATGACTTCATGACCTCACGAGGGTTAACATCGTCACGTGTGACGTGAAGATGTTAACCCTCGTGAGGATAACCCTTTGTGACCCTCCTGAGGGTAACACTTGTAACCCTCGTGAGGGTAACCCTTTGGGCCTCGTGAGGGTAACCCGCGTGACCCTCGTGAAGGTAACCCTTGTGGCCCTCCTGAGAGCAACTTTCGTGGCCCTCGTGGACACAAGGAGATAACCCTCGTGACCCTCATGAGGGTAACCCTTGTTGCCCTCGTGAGGGCAACCCTCGCGGCCCTAGTGAAGGTAATCCTCGTGACCATCGTGAGGGTAACCCTTGTGGCCCTCGTGAGGATAAACCTCGATACCCTCGTGAGGGCAACCCTCGTGATCCTCGTGAGGGTGACCCCCGTAAGGGTAGCCATCGTAACCCTCGTGAGGGTAACCCTCGTGACTCCCGTGAGGGTAGCCCCCGTAACCCTCGTCAAGGTAATTCTCGTAACCCTCACGAGGGTAACCCTCGTGACCCTCATGAGGGCAACCATGGTGACCCTCGCGAGGGTTACCCTCGTGGGGGTAACCCTTAATTGTGGCCCTCGTGAGGGCAACCCTCGTTTCCCTCACGAAGGTAATCCTCGTGACGTCAAACGCCACGTGTGACGTCATTATGGGCAATGTCCCATAATGCAACGCGTTCTTCGCCGACGGCGACGGCGACGCCACTCAAGCCGGAAGCGGGCGCCTAAGAGTGCGCTCTAAAACAAGGCTGACTTCTCCGATTTATTCGGAATAATACCGTAATTAGGTCGTGTTCAGCCTAATATATGTTTTCTGGCTTTATTATTTTTTTAAAATTAAATACAAAATAAATGCGAATAAAAAGCATCTAGTCACAAACAAACGGTAAATAAAAATATTTTGGGGATTTAATTTAAAAAAAATTATTAATTTAATCACCACAGTAAAATTGGTGTATTTCATATCATGATTTAAATTATGCTTAAAACCTCGATTTAAATCATTTTAGAGCACAGCCCTTAGGCGCCCGTTTCCGGCTTGAGCGGCGTCGGGGTAACCGTGACCTCCCCCCCCCCCCCCCCCTCCCTGAGGACCTTGGGAGGACCTCGGTTTCCTTCGGGAGGACCTCGGTTTTCATCGGGAGGACCTCGGTCTCCTTCGCAGGACCTCGGTTTCCTTCGGGAGGACCTCGGCAGGACCTCGGGTTCCTTCGGGAAAACCTCGGGAGAACCTCGGGTTTCTTCGGGAAGCCCTCAGGAGGACTTCGGGTACCTTCGGTGACCTTGGGGAGGGAGGGGGGTCACGTTCCCCCCGAGGTCACGTGACCCCCCTCTCCGAGGTCACATGACCCCCCGTCAATACTCTTCCCTATTCCTCCTCAAGAGCTGCGCTCTAACTCGGCGCTGCAGGGAATTGTAAACGGCTTTCACTTTTTAGAGCGCAGCTCTTAGGCGCTTGTTTCCGGCTTGAGCGGCGTCGCCGTCGGCGTCAGTGTTGGCGTAACCGCGCGGTGCATTTTGGGACGCGTGACGTCACTAATGAGGTCATCGACATCTGCATCGTCGTCGTCACTGATGACGTCGTCAGTGACGCCACTGATGACGTCATCGGCGTCGGCATCGTCATTGATGAGGTCATCAGCGACGTCACTAATGACATCACCGGCATTCACATCGTCATCGTCATCGTCACTGATGACATTAGTGGTGATGTCACTGGTGATGATGACGTCATCAGGGACGTCACTGGTGACGTCACTGATGACGTAATCGTCATCGTCACGTGACCTGATAGGGGTCACGTGACCCCGGTGACGTCACATGACTCCCGTGAGGCCACGTGACCCTCGTGAGGCGACGGCGACGCCGCTCGGAGAGAGGAGTAGCAGACAGGATGAGCACGTGAGGAGGAGGGAGGAGGGCATACCTTGACCTCAGTACCCTTCTCTCCTCCACCTCAAGAGCTGTGCTCTAATTCGGTGTTACAGGGAGTTGTAAACGACCTTCATTTTAGAGCGCAGCTCTTAGGCGTCCGTTTTCGGTTTGAGCGGCGTCGCCGTCGCCGTCGGCGTAACCGCGCGGTGCATTATGGGACGCGGGACGTCACTGATGACGTCATCGGCATCCGCATGGTCATCGTCCCTGATGAAGCAATCAGTGACGTCACTGATGACGTCATCGGCATCAGCATCGTCACGGATGACGTCAGTGATGGCGTCATCGGAATCCGCATCGTCATCGTCACGGATGACGTCACTATACTCCGTTTCACCTTATGTTGTACCGCAGACAAGGCTAGAAGCGCGAGCTCATAGCGTCGCCTTCGCCGTCGACGTAACCGCGCGGTGCATTATGGGAGAAGTCCCATAATGCACCGCGCGGGACCATCGTGACGTCACTCGTGACGTTACGTGTGACGTCACGAGGGCCTCGCGCGGTACATTATGGGACATTTACCATGATGCAACACGCGGGGAGGAGGAGGGGAGGAGGACGAAGGGAGGGGAGGGGGAGGAGGGGCAGCAGGAGGGGAGAAGGAAGGAAGAGGGGAGCAGGAGGGATGAGAAGGAGGAGGAGAGGAGGGAGCAGCTCGAGGAATAATGGGAGGAGGAGGTGAAGGAGGATGGGAGGAGGAAAGGACGGGGAGGAGGAAGAGGAGGGGAGGAGGAGGATGAGGGAGGATGAGAAGGGAGGAGGGGTATACCCTCCCCTCAGTACCCTTCCCTCCTCCTCCTCCTCAAGAGCTGCGCTCCAATTAGGCGTTACAGGGTGTTGTAAACGTCGTTCATTTTTTTGTTGTCATTGCTTATATTTTTTTGATGGGCTCTCGGACTCTGATAAGGACATCAAAGTTCATTCGACTGTCTTGGTGGTCCGTCAGACTTTTTTCACGATGTCTGATGGACCATCAAACATTTTGGGATGATGGCTGACGCACCTTTAAAGGCTTCTGACTGTCATCGACTCGCTCTACCCGTGCCCACGTGCAGGTACAACAGAATGTGCTTGTCCTGCGTCCTTCATGGGTCCCAGCTGCCTGGACGACGTGGACGAGTGCCTTGCACGGCCCTGCGGTCGGTTCAGCGTGTGCGTCAACCTGTACGGTTCCTTCCAGTGCCTCTGCCAGCCGGGCTTTCAACTAGAGGCTCACCTCTGTGTCCGTGAGTTCCGCGAACTTAGGCACACGCCGCAAGTGAATGCTCGTTGGTTTGCCGACGGTCAACAGATAACCGAAATGTCAGTTACAATGCGACCGCGGTAAGCCTCTAGGTTGCAAAATCTAAATGAGAACCTTATTTTTATTACAAGCACAGCAAACCTATATGCTTTGCAGGGACATTAAGCATGAATTTTAAGGAATTGTCTATTAGACCTGGTCGGCTAGAACCTGTGGTGTATATTGCATCATATATGCCACCTGGTAACCATTAGGATTGTTCTGAAAATTGCTTCGCAAGCCTCTCTAATTGATTTTAAAGAAATAAGTTACGTCAAAGGTGGGGCAAACGCACGTGCTGCCCAATAACTGCTCCAAAAATGCTTCTCCAATTGTTTTGTCGTGTTTTATTGAACCAGTACGAAGTGACACACAAAGGCCACAGACGTTCGCGACAATGACTGTGGGCACGACCTGTTCGTAAAGCTAGACATTTTGCATAGAGTGCCTCAATGTTGTTCTCTGCGACTGCAACACTCAGGCGGCACCATCGAAGCACCACTCAGGCACCTTTGTTTGAGGCACCATTGATCCACCAATGAGGCACCATTGAGGAACAATCTATTCACTCCAGTACGCAAGCAAGCAACTGCACTGCCCCCTTTCTCTCTCTTTGTCTCTCTCTCTCTCTCTCTCTCCCGCTCTCTTGGCGTCTTGACTCTTTCCAGCCTGCGGTAGAGGTTGCGGTAGCGAAGCAACAGGACGTTCCCACAATTCGTCACGTGCCTCGCGCGTGGAATCTGGGGATTTGTCGCTGTTGGGCTGCGTTTGTCGAATGATTCGAAAACTGTTCCGTTTTGCCCCCAAACTGCGTCGGCCAACGGGGCCCGCACACGCTGATGTCGAGCTGTGTCGCCCTGGCTGTGTGCAGGCGTGGTGACGTGCGAGGAAGGCCCCTGCCTCAATGGCGGCACGTGCGTGACCCGTGCTGACATGAGCGATCTCTGCTACTGCAAGATCGGCTTCGCTGGACGTCTCTGCGAAACAGGTATACGAACCTTGACATTGCCGGCTGCTTCTGTTTTAGGGCAGAGAAAACTAATCAGCCTCGTGTATTTGTTCACGTGCGCTTTTGCACTACAGTCAACTGCTTGCGTAGACATATACCTGACTTGCACTGACGTCACATCAGCTGCCATTGTGGTGGTCGTGCTGCTGAGCGCATGCCTTCTTCAGCAACTTCTTCAGCAGGGGGCGGGGAAGCAGCGTGTGTTTTCCTCGCACCCTCCTCCGGACGCCCATGCCTAGGTCTTTTACGTTTAAGATTAGTTCAGCGAAGATAGAACACGTACAAAAACATGACGAACACCATGATGGTGTGCTTTTGACACTTTCTGACTGGTCTCATTAGGTCGTAGCGTCGGCTGCATCTGACCTTAGAGGGGCGGTGCACCGATATTCAATCGGAATTTTTTTCACTTTACATGAGCTCTGGCACTACACTCAATGCCTGAGCCTCTACTTACCCGCGAAACACAGGAAGAGCCAATCTCTACGATTTTCGAAATCAGCTCAGCGAATGATGACGCGGAACGTCCGTTTCGACCTAAAAATAAAGTCTGCGCGGTGGCAGTACGCAATGCAAAACGCCATGCTTGCATTGTGCAATGCCACCGCGCAGACTTAATTGTGAGGTCTAAACGCATGTTCAGGACCATCATTCGCTGAGCTGATTTGGTAGATCGGAGAGATTAGCTTTCCCAGTGTTTTGCGGGCAAGTAGACGCGCAAGCATTTTTTGGAGAGTAGTGGGACTCAAGGATACCCGCATGGATACTTGCGGCGAAATTTCAAGTACAAAGGCGATCATTTTCATTAAATATTTCCTTCGCAAAACTTGATGACGTAACTGGAGGATCGCTGTATGTCCCAGTGACAATATTTGAATGCGGCTCATAGATTGGACCCACGCATTGTGTAAGCACTCGATTTGGGCTCGTGATAATCGATAACTCGACAAGGATTTGGGTAGTGGCCCGTGTCCAATCGCTGCAATGACGACAATAACCGAACCATAATGTTATGTCCCCTAAAGTGCATATGAACAGACATAGCCTCCTCTATACTGACAAAACCTGCAGATCGCCATGAGACGCGGTCGCCGAAAGTGAAAAGGTAGGGCGGCAGACAACGGATGAGAAGAGAGTCATGTAACGGGCGCCCCGCTGCGGCGAGACGCCGAAACACTTTTCCCGAGTGATGGACTGTCCGATCGTGCTCCTCGCGTTCCTCGTGCGTCCTCGCCGCTGCAAAAGCTGTGCGCTCACAACCAGCTTCCCTGAAAAACGCTCTGTGCTGCCAGATCCTCGCGCTCCAAATCTTCGACAGGGCGCTATATGGCTCCGTCATCGAACTGCCATACTTTGCGAGTATTGGCGACGTGCAAAAAAAAAAAAAAAATTGAGTTATGGAGATATTTATACAGCGTGTAGTTGGTCAGCCATCAAAGTTGCGACGAGTCACATGCTGTAGATGAGCAATTTAGCCAGTGCAGTACAACCGCTAGCCTGGAGTCTTTATCGTGCACCACGCAGTAGTGATACACGACCACACGCCGGTACGATGCTCATCCAGATCGAAACGGGCAGGGGTGGGGCTCGAACCCAGGATCCCTGGGTTCTGCAGCGCGAGCTTTCGCTCCACGCGCGTCGAGCTGGGCGTGCGCTTTAACCCACTCAGCCACCGATCCTTTTTTTTCTTTTTTTTTATTACATGGGATTTGGTCAGAAAACACAAGGCACTTGAAATCACGGTACACCAAGGTTGGTGTTAGGTGTCATGTACAGGCGTCGACATAAATTTCGTTGATCTAAAGTCACACCATTGTGGGGGTTTAGTTCCCCTCATAGGTTCGAGTGCGGTTTCACAACTCAACAAAGTATTCTGTATTGAATAATACGTCTAAAAATCCGGAAGATGAATGCATCGATTTAAGAGAGCATACCAGTCTGGGCGTTCACCGAGATGGTCAAATACATTTCGTACATGTGATACAGTTTCTATAAAATTCGATTTTGTTGTCCGGGGAGCATCAGCATTTCTGTCAATCATTCTCGTTTTCCAGAGACTATGCAAACCCATCAGTGTAAACTGATCATAAGGGAAGCTGTCATTCGGGTTTAAAGGTAGAAAACGGATTGTGTAGGCACTTATATTTAAATCTTTTTTTTACAGTTCTTTGTAGCACATCCCAGAAGAAGTAAGCATCAGTACAGAAAATAAAACAATGCTCTACAGTCTCCGGTTGGTTACAAAGGCGGCAGTTCACTGACCACGGAACGAAAATGCCTTTTTCTTGAAGCCAAGGCTTAACAGGTAGCGTGGAAGTGTGAAGTTTAAAAAAAAAGGTTTTTGCAGAAGGTGACACTCGCATTTTCTTCACACGTTTAAAAACATCTTGTTCCGAACCGTTACCAAATACGCTTCGATACAAAGGTACAGGAAAAACAACGTCTATCAGATCAGCATAAATTGTTTTTCTGGGAACTTTAAATAAATACTCCAGAGAAAACCGGGTTTTCAAAAATTCAATCGCCTACAGGCACAGATGAGACTACCAAGTATGGTAAAGCTTCTGAAAGTTCTGTCTGCACGTAAGTGCGCAGGAATTGATGGGATACAGTTCGGAAGAACATAAAACGAACAACCACCTGTTCTAAAAATAGGTGAATCAGCCCAAGTCCCCCTGTGTCAATGGAGCGAAAAAGGTTGTCTCGTTGCATGGGTTCCCAAGTGAAATCCCAAAGAAAAGTCGCGAAAACTCTATGGAATTTTTATTTAAATTGGCCTCTCGCACAGCAAATCACCTGGAGCACGTACCAGAGTTTCGCTACAAGAAAAATGTTACATGCTTTTGCGCGTCCAAAGATTGACCACCAATTTGATTTCATTATATTGGCTTGACGTTTGATCTTTGCCGCACGCTCAGACCAGTAATGGCCACTGTTTCGAATGCAGTTCAACGGTACTCCTAAATACTGAGGAGCTCCACAGCTCCACGAAATACCAGCATACTTCGAAGGTGTTGTGGCCCACTGGCCGCACCAGAAGCCAACGCATTCTGACTGAGTTATTTACCAACGCTCCCGATGCTTCACAAAATGTCTGGGTTAAGGTAAAGACATTATCAACACTTTTCTTATCAGCACAGAAAAACGCTATATCGTCAGCGTAGGCTAACACTTTTACTTCCGCGGAATAAAAATGATAACCGTCCACTGTAGGGTTGGAAAGTACACTCAAGCAAAGAGGTTCCAAGTTAGAGCAAACAAAAGAGGGGATAAGGGACACCCTTGTTTAACAGACGATTCTAAATTTATAGGAGTCGAGAGTGAACCATTAACAATGAGACGGGTAGCACAGCTTCGGTAGCATAGGTCGATTCCTTTTAACAACGTTGGTCCCGGGTTTATGTGTCTAAGAATGGCGAAAAGGAAGTTGTGAAATACGCGGTCGAAGGCTTTCGCCAAGTCTACTTGGACTATGGCGACCTGGTTGTTATGCCGAGTACAGCTCTCTATGACCGAACGTGCGACGTGTATATTGGTCTGTATGCTTCGCCCCTTAATTCCACATGTCTGATGGTCGCCAACAACACTAGAAGCGACAAACTGAAGCCGTTTTGTCAGAATCTTAGCGAATATCTTATAGTCCACATTGCAGAGAGTAATAGGGCGATATCCTTCTACGTGTATAAGTTTATCTGCATCCTTACTTTTGGGGATTAATACTGTATGGCTGCTATAAAAAGATGGTGGTAAGCGTTCACTATCGTAAGCTTCAAGAAATACTTTGTGTAAGAAAGGGCACAGTAGTTCCTTATGATCCTTGTAAAACTCAGCTGGGAGTCCATCCGGTCCTGGCGTTTTAGAGTTAGGCAACTCATCTATCGCACTCCGAATGTCCTCCAGCGTTACTGGTCCACTAAGTAGTTCGCGTTGAATCTCACTTACTTTAGGCAACATGGAAACTAAAGTGTCTGTCATTTGACTGTTGGAAGATGGCGTTTTCTGGAATAGGTTTTTGTAGTGGGATTCGAATGTGCGCATTATATCAATATCGTTGGTTGAGAGGGTTCCGTTGCAGTCCAAAAGTTTGATTTTTTTGGAAAGCCCATGGCGTCTTTTATCATCAATGGCACGCCCCGAGGGTGTCTCAGATGACAAGAAACGCTTACACCTAGAACGTACCAGTGCACCATTATAGCGATTTTGCTCATAGCGCTGCAGCTGATTTTAATAAGAATGATTTCTTTCTGAAACTCACCAGATTTTTCACATTCCGATTCGTGAAGGCTATTTAGGTTTCGCAAAAGGGCAGCTTCGTCTTTCTTTGCGTGAAAAGACGCAATACAAGCAAATTCAATCGCTTCATTTTTGACCTCTTGTTTAAATGAGTCCCATTGGGCGAAAATGCCGAATTTTTCATTCGTTGACATATTGTTAAAACATTCACGAACACGTTTTTGAAAATCATCACTGCCAAGAAGCCTTGTGTTCAATTTCCATAATTCCCATTTTGGACGTGACTTATTACGTACGTCTGCCCCAATACGAACCTTTACAAGGCAATGATCAGAAAAGGACATGGGTTTTACTTCATAAGTAGCAACATGCGAAAAAAGTTGGCTTGAAACTCTGTCAAGCCTCGCGTTACATGAAGCATCAATGTGAGTGAATCGACTAGCAGTAACCTGAGAAGCACCGACATCAAATAGGTGGAAGTTGTATGTGAGGTTGTTTAGTATGTCAGCACTGCTGTCAGGTCTTGTAGGAGGCACTGATCTATCACTGATATTACAGACACAATTGAAATCACCAAACAGAACAACTTGCCTGTCGGTGTCAAGAAAAGGGGCGAGATTTTCAAAAAACAAACGTCTTTGTCGAACATCATTGTAGGCATAAATGCAAATTAAACGCCAGGAGACACCATTTAAGAAAAGATCACAGCATATGAACCTGCCCTTATCATCCACAGCATGTGAAAA